CAGGGGCTGGGGGGGAGAGGGAGGTGTCTCTCTTACTCAATGGTCCCCGGCTCTCCAGCCTGGGGCAGCGAGCAGGCAGCACCCACACATCCTGGTGGGACAAGGTGCTGATGTGAGGGCATGGTGACCCCCGAGGGACGAGGATGCCCCATCCTCATTAACCACACATGGCACTGAAGCTTCCCCAGGAGATGAGCAGGAAAGGCACAGGCCATGCAGGGACATTGGTGGTGGCAGCAATGGCCCTGTGGCACCTCAGGAGGTTCAAACTGCTCTGCAGACCGTGCTTCGTGGACAGTGAAGTGCAGCCCCTGGGGTGTCCAGAGTCACATCCCATCGCCCTGCAATGGACCACAGCTCAAGTGCCACTGCCTGCCATCTGGAAGGGGTTTCCAGCCCCACTGTGGCTGTGCCTGCCCATCCCCTGGCCTTGGGCCACTGCCTCAGATGGTCTGAGCTTTGCATCCGAGCACTCCGGGTGAGTAGCAGCTCCACACACCCGGCTGTCCTGTCCGGGAACAGCCACAACCGCAGGATATTGTTGTTCACCAAAAATGGCTTTTCTTCCAGGAACCGGCTGCCCTCTAGAGGGTCCACTCTGGCATAAAGCACAGCAGAGGGGCTTCCCAGCCTCCCCATCCCTTCACTGAGGTGGGTGCAAGGCAGGGCTGGAGGTCCTACTCCCTGTGCCGGCATTGCCGGACACCTTGGGTCCCCTTGCCAAGGCGAGCCAGCAGGAGTGACCATCCTGTGCTCCCAGCCAGAGCCCCAGCCCTGCCCAGCACCCTGGGATGGCCATGGCACTGCATGGGCCACGTCCTTATGGATGATATGCTTCTGTGGGACTGACTGGACCTGCCTGGCAGTGAGATGTGGGGTCATTTCTCCATCAGTTTTGAGAAGGATTTAACTGTTCTCAGTGTGGTGCTGTGGAGATGGGTGGGCAGGGGGATGCTGGGCTGAGCTGTGCCAGAGAGATGGTGTCCCCAGCATCAGGGTGCCCAAATCCTTACCTGCCTCCTTAAATTAAAAAAAAATAAAATTAAAAAAATCACTGGCCTCAGGTATATTCACCCCCCTGTGCTCCAGGCACGTACACCCAGACCAGCTCCCTGCAGCCCCTGTGCCTCCCTCCAGCCGAGCCCCTCTCCCTGCCGCAGCCCCATGGCTAACAGCCAGTCACTCTTTCCATTAGGAAATCCATTTTTCAGGAGCATATAACTCAGCTGTGAAATTTCACTCTTGGCTGAAACTTGGCTTAGCGGCAGAGAGGCTGGGAAGGGCTGGACCCAGTGGCTGCAGGTGTGAAAAGTGCTTTTTACAATGAGCTTTTATAACTTGGGAGAAATGGCTCCAATCCCTGCTCCCTGCCCTGCCGTGTGGGCCTCAGCATGAGTGGTGGAGGGTAACAACCAAAGCAAAGCAGCCCAGTGGGTGCCATCACATCCCACCTGGGGAGAGGCACATCCTGCCCAGGAGGGGCCAGAGACAGAGTGGAGAACACCAACTCAGCAGGAGCAGAACTCCTTTTAGAGAATGGGGAATTCTCCCCAGAAAAGGTCAAAAATAAGTTTACATGTGCCCACAGATCCAGAAAATATGGAGGCTGGATAAACACATAAACTTTGGTATCATCACAGTGAAATCCTGGTGGATATGGGTGAGGGAATGCCTGGCCCCTCCTGATCAGGTGGAAATTCCCATCCAAAAGGATTTCCAAGTCTCTATCACTGCAGACTGCGAAACTACGTAAAAGCAGCCAAGAAGAACATGCTTATTCCTGCACAGTGAAAATATCCATCGTGGCTTGCAGGAAAGGGCCCTGTCATCCCAAAACAGCCCCAGTGTCAGGCTCTCACCCCCTCGACCTGCCTTTGTACCCAGGGGCCACAGGACCCCCCAGAGACACCATGCTGGGGCCGTTCTGAAAATCTCAGTAACACTTTTTAATATACAAGAATCAAAAGTACAGCAGTTTTACAAGGTAGGAAAATTTCATACATACTATATAAACAACATATTTACATCAGAAATCACTAGGACAGTGGCATTTCTTTCACAAATATAAATTAATATTAATTACTGTTTTTAGTCAACAGGTTTAAAAGTCCGCATTTTTTACAGTAAGAGTCCTTCTCTCCCTGGAGGGGAGGCAGAGGTTGGGAGGAAATGGGTGAAAGCAGAATAGTATTTTTGTGAGGATCACAAACCGTTCACGCAAGGACTTCAGTGCGTTGTTACACATCCGTTTTGGTTGGGACCACATCGCCTGTCCCCACAGCAAGTTTTGGTCTGCAGGACTTGCAACATGTGAATTCATAACTTTACACCATTTCCAAAGAGGTCAGGCTAAAAAACTTTTTTTTTTTTTTTAAAATAAAAACCCATCAAAGTACTAACCCAAGTTAGTACTTTTTCCTGCAAAGAGGCTGGAGGGAATCCAGCAGCCGGTTCAGAAGGAAGAGCTGTACCAGGTGTTGACACAAGCACCACAGGGAAGTTTATGGCTGTGGACGTGTCCCCTCTGATCCCACTCATATCCAAGTGATTGGGTCTGGTCATGGTCCCTATGCTGAGGGGACATAAAATGCATGTGTGTGTGCTCAGGGAGAACTTTCTCCCAAATCTCATTCTCCAGCTTCACTAAAACCAAACTCAGCAAAGACCTGCCCACCACAAGTGGACAAAATGATGTGCCTTCAGCATCACTATGAAGTGACAGCAGGGACAACTCTCTGGCGGACAAGAGTAAAGCTGTTGCTGTTGCACAAGAAGGAAACTCAAACCAACCTCATACCTGGAACCCACAATGTGCAGAAACCCCCACATCTGGACACAGAAAATGCTTCTTGCTGGGGTTCAAAGTTTTCCTGCACCAACCCTAATACTGGTTGGCCAGTATTGCCTTTGCTACAAGAGTATGGCACGAACTTCCCATCATGACAGCACCGCTTGGGGACAAAAAGAGCAATTCTCTTTGCCCCCTCTGAGGTTTCTTCCATTTTCACATTAAAAGCTAATACCTCTGAAAAGAAAGGACCTCTTTGTTGAATACCACAGGCTGCAGTCACAGCTTAGTGGGAAAAGCTGCGGAAACATGCTCTCTCCACACCTCCCACTGCCTGGCAGCTCCAAGGGGGACTGTGGAAGACTTGCATTAACCTCACCCTGCACAGGTAAACACAAGTGTAACACTTTCTCAGGACAGCAAGTGCCCCTAAGGAAACAAAACTGCCCTGAATTTGGTGGAAATCTTGCAAAATAAAAACAAAAAGGAAGAAAAACCCTTCCCGTGTGTCCCATTAAAGCAGCAGGCTCAGAAGGAGTGACGGCAGCAGATTTCCAGGGATACACTGCGTGGAGGGGACATGGGATATATTAGTGTTGGTTTGCATGCGCCTTCCAAGGCACTGGCTGGAGTCAGGAAACCAGCCCTGAACACCCACCTGCCCTCAGTCTTTCGGGGAAAGGACATCACAGCTTATTAGGGTCAAATACTGGCATCTTAACAGGAGGCCCAGCTTCTATCTCTCATCAAAGAGGGGAGTCTGGAACAGCCTGGTCTTTAACACTGAGCTCTGGGAGGTGACGGATCCCCAGACACCACGCTCTGGGCAGTCTGTCTTTTGGGAGAGCTTTGTGGTGTCCAGGGAACTCCAACCTGAAAAATAATCACCCAAACTACTTCTGGCCAGCAATCTGTGCACAACCACAGCAGAGTCCAGGCTGGATGCTGGTTTGCATCAAATGCTGTGGCTTGAATACTTGGAGTGTTTGCCCTGAAGTCCACTGAACTGGGCTGCAGACTCCTCTTTTCCCTCTGCCATGCTGGGCTCTTAAGACGTTTGCTCCAAGGATCAGTCCTGAATTCCTTATTTGCTCCCTGCTCACTGAGGTGCTAAGTCTCCAGGCTCATTTCCAATTTAGACAGACAGAAGGTCTGTAAGTGTAGGTACTTTTAGCAATTCTTAGTCACTGCCGGAAGGGTGGCAGGAAGGTGACTATTCCTGAACAGTGGATTCCTATTTCCCTTTGTTCTACCATCCTTTATCCTTCAGTTGCAGTAAAGGTTTGTGATCACTGCTTCGTGAAGCACAGAGAAAAATTATTTGCCCAAAGACCAGAGCACTTCAGTGGGAGGGAGACTGGAAGTTCCAGGATCCCCAGATGCCCAGAGCCATCTTTTGATCTTGCAGCTCCCAGCCAGCACCTGTTAGTTCCTGGACCACCCAAGCTGCCCATGCCAGAAGAGAAGTGTTTTGTTGTGAATTCCTGATCCCTGTCCACTGGGAAATACTGTTCTCACCCCGATTTCTTTACTACTGGTTAGAAGTGAACTAAGCCTTTGCTAAGGAAGTCAGTCTT